TTTGCCAACATATTCAGTCAACTTATAATTCTTGATACGATAAGTGCACAGAAATGAGAAGTGACTGCCATAGTTGTTGCTGTTTTTCAAGATTTCTAAAACTTTCACCAAAACGCAGATATTAGGGAACCAATCAGAGTGGACTATTCGTAAGTAACCGTAGCGCTGATGCAATATTAAAACTGAAAGGTTTTTAAAAGTTTGTGATTAAAGACAAAATAAAAAAGCAATGTATCAAAGTGATTATGCCAAAATGATGCGAATTAAAACAGATGAAGAATTTAAGATATCAAACCAAAAGAACAGCGGATCTCACAGCACGCAAGAACCCATTTCCCTTGACAGATACACAACTGTCGTCATGCATTTCACTCGAGYACCTTTTACTGTCCGTCGTCGCGATTAACGACCACGGTTACGACTAAATGGGGTTTGATATTAACGGAAGTCTTTGGCCGGCCATTAAGAAACATAAAGCTTTCTTTACTAGCAATGTAGTCATTAAAATTTGTTTGACTTCGAATAAAAACACGGGGCAATTTTCTCAAGTATCTTTGTCAATTACACTGGCTGTTTCCTCAAGTGTGTATACTTTAGTTTCATCAGTTTATCGTATTTACTTATCTGGAAAACAAATGGTAAAAGCTTTAAATCGCTAATGTATTTGCTCGAAAAAAGCCATTTCAATGCTAAAAAGCCCCTGCGATGCCATTAAAGCCACTTAAATGCTATAAATCCCGATAAAGGTATAAAAATATACAACGAAAGCCACTTAGGTGCTAAGATGAGCAGTGTAGTGTATCTGAAGATATTACAGTACGTCAAAGTGGTCGACAAAGCGAAGAACTGATTTATCACTCTTTCGTATAAATCAGTGMAAAACAAGGCACTGAACGAAGTGAAAGCATCTCATATTCAAAGACAGTGTAGAGTATTGTTGGGCTGCTTGTAGACAGTGTAGAATATTATTGGGCTGCTTGTAGGGTAAGTAACTCTTTTGGACCAAATCATTTCACTTTGATACATTGAATGTGAAAATTGCCGAAGGAACATCCACAAAATGCTGGCAGTTTTACAAATTCAACTGAAAGGCGACACMAAAACAATGAACAACAAGATCCACTAAGAATTAAATTATACTATGTCAAACACAAAACACCAATCAAGTTAATTCTTACAACAAAATATATATAATTTCATTTTTGAGTAATTTGTACAGTTTCGTAATCTAAACGCTAAATCAATCAATACTTTAGGTAATACAGAATGGCGGTAAAATAGAAARGTTCAATTTCAGCAATTACATTAATTAAGGGTCTCGGTATGAGTTAAGAATAGGAGAATTCGTAATTTTTACCCTGGCATTTGATCGTCGAATGTTTCTAACAGCATCAGTGTTTTGTAATTAGATTTTTCATCATTTATAAGTGGTATTTTGTTTGATATTCTATCCACTATTCTTGCCCCTCCCCTGATTATATATATATTTATATATCCAATCAGACTTGGAACGACTACCTAACGACCTGTAGAATAGTACCTTAAATGATACAGTCAGTCATATTGGCYTTGTTTTGGTTGTTGATGTTTACAGGGATATTTCATTATGCAGTTTGGCAACTAATTTTGTCTTGCGCGCTACATCTTAGCCGCCATAATGGATGAAGTTTGCAAAGCATTTTTACTAATGCAGTTTATAAATGGCTATTTATCTGAGTACAATCTATGCTTGATATATGCCACTTCACAAACATGACAACTACAATCTCAGCTAAAATGCCCTGTCTAATTATCAGGCTTTTCTAAAGTGACATAGTCGGACTGGCGGTCTTTGCCAGCRAGTCTTGTCTTTACCGCGCGGTCAACTTGAAACACCACCAAACAATCTTTTGATAAGTGTTTGAACTTTCTTTAATTGAAATACTCGATTGAAGTAGCGGCAAAAAGACAGTACGGGAGTTTCTATTGGGTCATAAATAATACTATCAAGCGTTATCTGTGCTAGTGTGAAGATCTTACTTCAAAGGTTACAGAAATTGCTTTGTAACCTAASGTGCGTGATGATTGGTTCATTTTTATGAATATATCACAAGTGTAGGTCAGATTTTGTTTATCCAACGTGCACTCGTTCCTTACTTTGAAAAGAAT